AATCAAAATAATTATAACTCATTTAGTACAGTATCTATACCGATACTATGTATTATGCAATTTAAATATACGTAGACCTTATTCTATCGGTGACGCCATTTATATATGCACTGTCCGGGATATTAATGCATGTTGACAAAGGTCAACAGATCGAAAAGACAGGGAGCATTGGGCAGGGGTCAAACAACACGTGCTTAACACGGCCGGCTACCCACATCATAGATCGGTCGGTAAATGAAATCAGCGTCAGATCATTGATTCATGCAAAAGCAGAAGACACATGACACGGGTCCAACTCGGCCCGGTTACACGCATCATGGATCGATCGGTAAATGAAGTCACCGACTGATCGAAAGTTTATGCAAAATCGAAAGCCACCAAAAACTCAAATATATAAAGGTCGTTGAATGAAGCCAATTCAACACACTCTTTCTCACAAGAACCCAATTCATTTTAACTTGCATTTTTTCGAAATAAATTGTTCGAATATATTTTCCGATTGTTCGCTCAAGCGATATCCAAAAAAAAAAAAAAAGCAATAAATAAAAATAATAAATAATAAATAAAATATACATATATACAATAAATACGTATGAACAAAGGGAAAGTAATTGTTTCAAATAGTAGTCCAACTGCAACGATCACAAAACAATAAAGATAAACAGTAGCAATAGTACATCCGAACCTAATCATGAGCCAAACCGGGCCTGAGTCACATGATTCCGCAAATGCGGAAAACAACCCTCCTCAACCGGCGGCAACCACACCGCAGCACAAGTATGGGTGTTGGACGTCAGAGTTCAGACATCAATATTGATCCTTACATAAAATCATACATTGACGAGTTGATCCGAGCATCGACGTCATCGGTCATTAATTCCATCAAGCAATATATCGATTCTCAGAACGAGCAACTTCTATCAAACATCAGCAACACACTTGCCAAGCTCACACAGCCGGACAACAGCCACAGCACCACACCTTGCGCATCGACTTCGACCGGCCATGCAGCTTCTCCGCAACACTCACATCGTCCAACGGAGCCACCACAACCATGTACGACAGAGCAAGCGAGTCAGGACATTCAATCTACAGGTAATCACCCTCCAATCCCAACATTAAACAACCTGATTATGGCAACTTCGAGAGTAAGTCTGCAACCACAAAGCCTAGTGGCGATGGCAAGTCAGGTTCCACCAGTGTCAGCAGCAATGAAGCTGCCTGTACTGAAATTAACTTCGAGAAAATACCCATCCATCGATTATGCACAGTTCGATCAGATGCATGTAATTCAAAGTTTTTCAAACCCACATGCCGCAAGAACCGAGGGCATACGATTATGGTGGATTACCAATTGGCAAGAGGGCAAAAAGATTATTGAAAGTCTTCCGTACAAGCCCAACATTTCAACCAGGCTGTGGAAGTCGATAGTGTTCAGCTCCTATGTGAATTTGCGATTTTTCGTACAAGAACCTTTTAATTACCATGAAGGAGACCGAAGATGAGCCTGTGCTGCAATCAACGGAAGGGGGTTCCATTTCTATCAAAAAACGATCACGCCACGCAGCTTTCTCTGACATATCTGAATGGCTTCTCGCTTTCAAATCGTACATGGATGCAGTCTTAATCATCTATGAGAACTGGGAACAAGAGTTAAACGGTTACAGAGATCACATCAATGAGTTATGCCTGTGGCAAAACTTTCACGCGGTCATGGCATACGATGAAGACCGCAGAATGACAGCCGTCACGAACCATGATTCTACTCTCCTTGATCGCGATATCGAAGTTGAGGGTTGAAATTTTGATGCAACTACAGTCAAGAGGCAAAGAATAAACACATACCAGCCCACGAAGCTTGACACCGAATGGCATGACGGTAGGGAGATCTGTATTAACTGGAACAAGCGCTCTTGTAAGGACGAGAAACTCTGTGGAAGAGTTCATGCTTGCTTGATTTGTAAAAAAACGAATCATAGTGAGCAGCGTTGTTTCAGAAAAAATAATAACTCGAAAAAACACAACCCATCTGATAGTGGTCTGGCAGGAAAGAGCACACAGCAATGACAAGCTGCTGGTGTTTCCCACAGAGCTATACATAAAGAATGCGTGACAATGAGCGTTATTATTAAGAAAAAAAAAAAAAAAACAATAAAACAACAAAGAAAAAAAAAAAAAAGAGAAGGTCTCGTGGTTATGCGCGCATGCCAACAAATCACGGGCTGAGGTCACGGTCTTAACAATGGCACGATATCAGTACGTGCATCTGCAAACAATGACAATTCTTTAGTAAGGATAACAATAATGATCGTTAAACAATAAGAACAATGATAAGGGGCGAGTACATACCGCAGTTCACCTTTAACAATTTCTTGAATTGGTCGTCGACACTTGCATGTTCAACAATGTAGTAGACATATATATATAAAAAAAAAAAAAAAAAAAGAGGGAAAGCGTATGAGTAAAAAAAAAAAAAAAAAAGAAGAGATGAAATAGATTTAGTTTCAAAAAAAAAAAAAAAAAGAGAGGAGAGGAAATCGTAAGATGGGTTTCGGCAGTTTCGTTGCTACGTTTCACCTCACTCACGATGGTATACACAACCTGTCTACAGCCAAGACTAACTTCTTTATCTTGCTTCAGCCGCAGAGCTTCGTATCAGGCACCCATCACAGTTCAGGCTGGCGGGCAGCATCACTTTACTCGAGCCACCTAGCCTTCAATCGGCTGACAACACTTTGACGGCAATTCCACCGCGCAACAAACATTTGACTCCCATTGAGTGCGAGATTTTAACGCAACTCGACCCCAGGTTTTTAATATTTCTACACCAATCAATATGGATGCATTTATGCATTTGATGGCCGGCCACCCAAATCGGCCATTTGTCTCCTATCTGATGAACGGGCTTAAGAATAGATTTCGTTTCAATTTTACAGGACAAAGGGCAACTATCATCTAAGAGAATCTGAGCTAGATCGAAATCGATCTCCAGTCTTTTTCAAACTATATACGAGACGAGGTATCACAGGGCCGTATGTGCGGCCTGTTTTCCCCACATCAGCCTCCTTGCCAATTTTTTCAAGTGAATCCTTGCGGGCTGGTAGAAAAGAAAGATACCAACCCTAAGGTGTATCGAGTAATTTTACACCTGTCAGCCCCCTTTGGCGCCAGCATCAATGACGGAATTGACTGGATCGAATTTAGCACGCAGTACGAAAATGTCAGCCACGCGATTCGGTGGATTACATACTACGGCAAAGGCTGCTATTTATCGAAAATCGATATAAAAGACGCGTTCAGGATCATTCCAGTTCACCTTGTCGACCAGGTGCTACAAGGAATAACCCATAATAACCAGTTATATTTCTATAAAGCTTTAGCATTCGGCAACCGGGCCTCGGGTGGCATATTTTGCAGGTTCGCCGACATGCTAACATGAATCGTAGTGCAACAGGATATACAGTCGATCATTCACTATGTGGACGATTTCCTCATTATATCTAGAGCTAATGGTCATCCTGAGCTAGATCAATTCCTTCGCATTCTTAGCATTCTGAACGTTTCACATAAGCCATTCAAACTTGAAGGGCCCGGCACCTCTATCACGTTTCTTGGTATCCAACTTAATACTCAGTCTTTGTTAGCTACAATACCTACAGCCAAAAAACAAAAAATCATTGCTCTGTTGGAACAATGGGCAGGCAAACAGACATGTTTTCGGAAGGAACTTCAGTCCCTAATCGGTTCATTGATGTGGGTATGCCAGGTTATCCCACAAGGACGACCCTTTATACAGCGTTTCATAAGAGCTCTTAGCACTGTGCAAAGTCCTAAGTCCCATATCAAAGTTAATGGCCCTATGAAATCCGACATACGTTGGTAGATCACAACAGTTCCCGCCTGGTTGAGGCCGGATGCTCAAAATTTATTCACTGACACTTCTAACCTGGGTGGCGGTGCAACGTCCCAATCGTACTTCACAATCTTCAACTGGGCCCGTGGTCTAGATTTTTCCCTACATAACATCCAGGAGTGCGAGCTAATGACTGCGCTCATTGCCATGTTGACCTTCTCACCCGTATGGGTGCGGCAACGGTTCATCATGTGGACTGACAATCAGGCCAACGCCGAAGCCATATACAACGGCTACTATAGACAGCCTGAAATCAACAATATCATTGCGCAAATCTATCAAGCACAGATACAGGGCTGTTTTTCGGTTAAATTCGAGTACATTCCGGGCAGAGCAAATTCACAGGCAGACTTACTCTCGCGTAACAGACATAGAGAGTTCCTGAAACATAACCCTACTGCGCGTTACCTGCATCTAATTATTCCCTCAGAGTATTCTGACCTAATCTGTATGATCCCATCCATAGATTTCTACACCCCTGCGGGCAGTACGGCAGGCACACAAACCTCGAATATTCCACTTGACCAACAAGCAGCATTATTATTAGGGCTAGACGCAAAAACGAACAAGACATACAGTTCAGCCATAAGACAGTACGAAGCATTAGCAGTCAACAACTGTTGGACCAACTCTCAAAGAAACATTTGACCGATTGCCAAAGAGCACCTCATAGAATTTATCACTTACATACACGACAGAGTTGCACCCCGACTCTTTTGTCGTATCTATCTGCTCTGAAACACCACCATAGAATGAACCACCTTGACTGGGATGAAACGCGCAATGATCCCCTAGTCAGTCAGTTGCTGAGAACCATCAACCAGCACCATGTCCACAGGCCTGTCAAGCAGAAGTCTCACATTACTAGACACCACCTACGAACCCTAAAGGACAAACTTAATTTTAACAATCCAGATGACAAATTATTTTGGGCAATAGCTCTGTCAGCCTTCTACGGCTTGGCTCACTTAGGTGAGCTTCTTCCCACAACACGGCAAGACATTAGCAAGGTTCCAAGCATGGGAGCATTGACATTTGAGAAGGTTGGCCATCACACATATGCCACCATCCAACTAGCTCGTACCAAAAATCATAGAACAGCCATACGCACCTCCCTGACCATCAACCCGACATATGACGACCTGTGTCCAATTGACGTATTGAAGTCCTATATTGTGCAAAGGACAGACCCAACAGTAATACAAAAAAATGACTTTCTATTTACCAGGGCTGATGGGTCATGGGCAACAAAACGGTACTTCATCGATAGACTTAAGCGATTCTTGCCAACTGAGGACGTGGCAGGCCACAGTTTCAGGGCCGGGGGCACAACTGCCCTATAAGAAATTGGTACACAGAAATGCACGAACAAATACGGAATTATATATGTGTAAATACGGGTTTTG